TGATTTAAGACAAAAACTTCACCCGGCCTGGCTTAATATTGCTGTTGTATTGCTATATTAGTCCATAAATGCAGCCAAAAATAAAATAAAATTGTTTTTAACTAGCTGTAAATAGATCGACCAAAGACTAATGACTTAGGCAACGAACTTGCCTGGCCAGAGACAAATGGACGTAAAACGCATGCTTGTGCGGCCATTGTTGTCCGGCTTTGCCAGTCGAACAATTCAAAAATTGCTTGCAGTGCATTTAAAAAACATAAATGGAACGAAAATCGCTGCAAAACGAACGACTTAAGCCACAAACTTATGCGGATAAGCCCAAAGTCAGCACTAACGGCAGCTTTTTAGCTCAAAAATGCTGCCTAAATTAACAATTAAAAAGTGTTTTAAAAATGTTTATCTTCAAATGAATGTATTATCTGTTGCCTCATTGAGTTATCTGGATTGCATCACAAATACTTTAAGACTGGCCGCCTAATGAACTAAGCTCACACTATTAATCAATGTGATGGATGAAGACAAAAAAGAAGGAAAATAAACCAGTGCAGTTGCAGTTGCTGCGCACTTGCAACACAGCCTATCGATGTGTCAGTGGCAGGTGTTATCAAAACTGGTTCAGAGGGCTGTCAGCTAACAAGTTGACACTTTCATTATGCGCAGCAAGAAATATTTGGTATAAACAAAAACAAAATGTTTTCCGCATTTTTGGCGCGTATTTTAGATTCGTTACGTTTTGGCAGCAGGCAAAAAACTTGAGCGGGCCAAAAGCGACGAGTGCAGCTATTGGCAAGCCAAAAAACAAAGTTTACTAGATGTGTGTGTGTGTGTGTGTGAAGTGAAAAGCAAAGCATAACAAAAACAACACACAGAAATTACTTGCAAAAAGAGCAGCAACTAAACGACAACAACAACATTTGGCGGCTGCTTTCGTTTTCATTTTTCATTTGGCCTGCACGCTTCAACTGGCTGGAGCCTGTCTGCCAGGCAAAGCGTTCGCTCTGTGGCGTGCAGCCGCTGTAAACGTAGCAGTTTTAGCGTACCTACAACAACATCAACAACTACTACAACAACAACAACAGCAAGAGCAACAGCAGCAGAAACAGCTACAACAACTTTGAGCACTAAATTTTCCACGAGCGAGTGAATTTGAAAACGAAACTGAATTTCTTTCTTTCAACATTTCAAGAAGCACAAAAAATTAAAAAAAAAATTTATATATTTATATGTATGTATATTTATGTGTATATATATTTATATATATATATATATTTATATATATATATAAACGCATAGAGATCTGCGCGTTACTCGAGTTACGTTGACCATCATTAGTTTACTTAATAAATGTAGCCTCAGCTCAATGAAAGCCATGGCTTTTTAGCTCTTTTTTTTTTTTTTGGCGATTTGTGCTTATCGCACGCCTGCAATCAACAGCAACAACAACAACAACAACAGTGGCAAATCTGGTCTTCTTTGTTGCGCGCTTTTCACTTTTCAAATGCCCTATGAAAGCCACGAAAGTTTGGCATTTATTTATTACACATTGATGATGCTGCTGACGAGCGGAAATGTGAAGTAATAGCGCATACAGATCATAATATTTGCCTCTGTGTGTGTGTGTGTGTGTGTTGGTGTGTGTTTGTTTAACAAGCGTTTTGTTTGCCTGAATGCGGCCGTACAACAAACACCTTTTGTGGCCTACGCGTGCACTTAAAATACAATTTATATGCCGCGGAACAATGCCCCATGATTTAATGTTTTAATAAAGCTGCCCGTTACCGTAAACCTAGTCTGGGTATCCAGCTGCTGCTGCTGCTGCTGCTGCTGTGCGATAAGCAATTAAAGGCCATCAGACACCGTCTGTCTAACTGGCTAATCGTTAGCCGCACAATAATCGTGTAAAAACACGTGCCGCAGCACCATCTAAGTAATGCCACAATAACAATTTAATTAGCTCTTGATGGCTATAGTGCGGGCGTTAAGGCTTTCAACGTGCAGCAAATCAACTGCGTGAGTCGGGCCCTTTTTTTTTATATTTTGTATAGCCCAATAAAATGTGTTTTCACACCTGCGCCCGGCTGGGCCCCAACCGTGATGGCTGCCAGTATCAACTATGAGCTAATCAAGCTTCCAGTTGGAAAGAGTTAAAGTCAAAGTAAGATGTAGCTTGTCAGATGAATCTAGCTGCTGTTAGAGGCATTCAAGCTGCCCTCTATGCATTCACATACTGCTTTTTCCCTTAGATCTAAACTACGTAATGCATTCTTGATTAACCTGAGTGCTTATGGTTAGATTTTTCTGAAATTTGTAGGTTTTCACTTAAAAAATTGGACAATTTTTGTACGAGTCATTACAAAAAATCAGCAAAAAAGGTATACTTTACAAACGAATCGGTTTTTGGTCAACAACTTTTTTGAACCGACAGATTTGTTGCTTGTTTGAATGTCATTTGGTAGTAGGGATTCGTACGAATTAAAAAAGGTATAACATTTAAAGATCAGACGTTAGTTACCCGAGATATTAAAAAAAATCATGAAAAAAGTTTAGATTTTCGTACCGACCCCGATATTGAAAAAAAATGTGATGTAACCCCTTGCCATTTTGACGATTTGGTTCAAAATTTTGATTTTCACCTTTTTGATGCCAATCGATAGTACTGATCCTCAAGAGTCCAAAATGGTATAAAATTCAAAAATTGGACAATTTTTGGACGATTTATTACAAAAAATCAGCATAAAAGGTTTGATTTTCGAACCGAACCCGATTTTGATAAAAATCGTGATGTAACCCCTTGCCATTTTGGTCGATTTGGGTCAAAATTTAGATTTACTATTTTTTGATGCCAGTCGATAGTACTGATCCTTACGAGTCCAAAATTGGAGTTATGTCGTTTTCAAACGTCATATCTTCCGCGGATATATGTTCTTTTTTAGTCTGATCGACATCAGTCCCCGTTTGCTTTTCGGACAACAGTTGCCCTTCTAATAGACCGTTTTATATGGCGTGTGATTTGAGTTCTCAAATATGGCACAGAAAAGTGTGTGCATACCAAAACGCAGAGCTGTACATTTAAAAGCTACTTTTTAGCAATTCCCAGGGGAATATGTGGAGGTATTCAAAATGTGAACTATTTTGTATATGTATATAGCATAAAAGCAACTACATACCAAGTTTCGTGAATCTATCGCTAAAAATCTTCGAGTTATACAATAATTAATTTAGGCAATGTTGATGAAATGGTCTGCCATTAATATTTGCCATGGGCATATATCAACACTTGGTGAGACGTGCAAAGATCCCATCGTTAACATTCTGTAATACTTAAGAATATTCGAGCATATTGGCTAAACACACATTCCCAAATGTTGGCATGTGCTCAGCATCTGATTAACCCATTTTCCGCTAATGAACAAAGCCAATAAATTGTGCTTTGGCAACACACACACACACCCAAATCTAAGCCAAAGTCAACGGAATTGACAGCTCATAAAAATGCGCAGCGCATTTGTAAACAGAATTTGAAGAAATGCCAGCTGAAGAATGAAATGTTGGCTAGACAAAAGTGTGACACCGTTTTTTAAATTGTGAAAAAAAAACAGACAACCCAGCTCCGTGTTAAACTATATGAAGCTGAGATTAATATATTGGCAAAAACTTGTCGAAGTGAAGGCAGTTGTTTTTTTTTTGGCAGTCATGCACTTTGACACGCTGCAAGTGGAGCCCAACAGCAGTAGATGTGTATATATACATATATATTTAAATATGTGTATATATGTGTCGATTGTGTTGTGCATTGCGCATGCGCCGCATTGTGTCATTGCTGTTGTTGTTGTTGTTGTTGTTGTTGTTGTTGTTGTTGTTGTTGTTATTGTTGTTGTTGTTGCTGTTGCTGTCATTGCGTTTGTAAGTTTGCCACGACCTTTTTTTTATGTCTGCGCGCACGAAAACTCATTTGTTCATGCATATTGTTGTTGTTGTAGTAGTTTTTCTTTTGTTGCTTCTGAGAAAATGAAGTCAACTGTTGTTGTACGCCTGTGACTGACATTTCCCATTAAATTGCCACGTTATTGTCTAAAGTTGTAGTTTTTCTGTGCTTGCTTTTTTTTTTGGTTCTTGCTCTCAGCTTGTGCTTTTGGGCAGGGCGTGAGTGATGCAAAGTGAACTTTGCATATTTTGGTAACTGCATTTTCAACACGTCTCGCAGATTGTTGTGTCTGTCGGTCTGTCTTGCCTGTCCGTCTGTCTGCCTGGCTGCAGCTTCTTCTTCTACTTAGGCACTTTTATGCGATTGTTTACATTTATGGCTGCATAATTGAGCGCCTCTCGCGGCAACTGTTGCCAGTCGTTGTATACACTAATTGACTCCCACCAAAGAGCCGACTGTCTGCCAAGCCATGCACCCCGACTTCCTTCCTCGACAATTGTCGCAACACCTACTGCAATTCTTTGCTGTTGTACTTTTTAGGCACGTCGCAGCTTTATTAACTGCATTTGTTTTTTGGAGGCGTGCTGACGACTCATCATTCGGTTGTGCGTGTTCGTGTAGGTCTCTCTCAGGGCCAACCAGCCAGCGCCTGGCTGACTAGACTCGCGGCCCTAGTCGCAGCTCTTGACATTCTGCACTAATAGTTTTAATTAAAGCTACAAAACATATCCAGTTTGGTTGCGGTAACTCATAAATATACATTTAGTTAAAGTTTTTGGACAGGTTTTCTTTGTCGAGCAGCAACAACCTTGAGCCGCGTTTTAATATTGAAACACGAAAACGAAACCAAAACTTCGCTACATGAATAAAACGTATTAATACAAAAAGAAGAAGAAGAAGCAGAAAATGAGCGTAGCAGGAAGTGCACGGCAGGGCATGGCTGTGGGACGTGCGAATAACTGCATGCATATGCCTTGGGCTAAATGTTACGCATACGCCGTGTGGCCCGCATGCGAGGGCCGTGTTGCATGCAGCTTTCTGCATATGCTGCATGCGTGTCTGACATGTTACTCACCTTTTGCTCAATTATTTTCTGCTGCAGTTGTTGTTGTTAATGTTGAAATTGTTGCAAAATCTGTAGATATTTTCCCAATGATTACGTTTTCAGACGCCTGGCAGCCGCACTTGTTGCACTTTCAATGCTGTAACAATGATTTATTTTCTATTATTTATTATTTATATTTATTTAATAATATAACTGTGCGCTTTTCACTTTGCCATCTGCTGCCTTGTTGACAATTTAATTGTTGTTTGCGTTTCACTTGTTTTTTTTTTTTATATTAATTTTGACAAAACTGGTTTTTGTTATAATTTCATAAATATTTAACTTGACATTTTTCAACTTTGTGAAAAGTTTTTTAAATTTCGTTCAGCGTACTTTTTGTGTGTCTAATTTCTAACGATTTTCTTTGCTTTGCTTTGCATTTCTTTCGCTTTTTTGTTAAATAATTTCTTAATAAATTTAACTTATATTTGTTTTGGAACGCACTTCAGTTGCATAACGACTGCGCGCACTAAACAATTTTTTTTTTGGTGTATGCGAATGACGATGACGAAGAAGATGATGCTACTGCTGATGAGCTTGGCTTCTTCTTTTTGTTGTTGTTTGTTTGTTTTTGCTTTTAGCCACTGTAACACGGCACCAGCTTACTCGGCGTGTTTTGTGTGTGTGTGTGTGTGTTTGTGTGTGTGCCGCACCGACAGCAACAAAAGCAACTGGCAAACGCACTCGACGACTTTCGCGACACGACTGACGACGGCCAAGACGGTCTTGGCTACAAGCTGGGCCCGGCTGGCTGGCTGGCCTTACCGTAAGTTCGGTTACGTTGGCCGTTTCTCGTTTCGGGCTTTGGCTCTTTATTGTTGTTGTTTGTTTGAAACTTTTGCCTCATGTCTTAACTTGGCTTAATAGCATTTGGCGTGTCGAAGCTTGCAGAGCGCCAAAACTGAAGCTTTTCAAACGTTGCTCAGCTGAGCCAAGCTTAAGAGTGGCTTTTGCTGCTGCTGTTGTTCTCTTCGTTTGGCGCTCTTAAGCTGTTATGGCGCATGCATGTCTTGGACGGGTCAAAAGGCTGTTAGCCAAAAGCCATAATTCTCAGCAGACGGCGCTGATTTGCATATTTCTAATATAAATCAACTGAGCTGCGAGTCGCAGCTTTCTATGCGATAATTACATCATCTGCAGATGCGACGATCTTTGCCATTTCTTTTTTACAAATTAAGGCTTTTTCTGGCCGTGTACGCGTATTTATCAAGTTGCTACTTGAAAGCTTTTGCCGACAAGCGCCCAGCAACCGAATCGGCCACTAACCAGCAACAAGATAATATATAATATACATTATAAAATATACACATTTTATGCCCATAACGGCATTTTTTTAAAATTAAATCTCGATGTGCTGCTTAATTCTAATGACATTTTGAAGGTCGCTTGAGCGCGGCTTGTGGCTCGTAAAATGTCAAAATGCTTTCAGTTTAGTGATTCTTACAATACGCCCACAACATGTGGGCAAAACGAAAGACTTAGGCGACAAATGTAACACTAGACAGAGTCGTAAATCAGAGCAATCAATGCTGCGGCTTCAAGATTTATGTGACAGCAATTAAACAAGCTGAGCAATTGCGCCTTTGTTTCAATAAATAATACATATATATATATATATTTGTATATATAAATAATACAAATAATTATATGTTATGTGCAATGTTCAACAAGTGCAGCGCATTTGCATAAAAATTCAAAGAACTGCTGCACAGCGTTTGGCTCCATCTCATAAACCTGCTCAACTGCACAGAATATAATTACAAAATCAAAGCAAATATATGCTGGCAGCGCGTCAATTAAAAATGCCAGACCAAAGTGCCAGCCACTAACTAGTTGCCTTACCTGATCATAGTTGCTGCTGCTGCTGCTGCTGCTGCACCATTTCATGAGATTAATGAATTTTTTAGCCCTGTACGTATATGATGGACAGGGTATATAATATTGAGTGTACTTCTAAGGGGCAACAAAGTCTTGGCTCATGGGAAATGTTTAATATGTATTCTAAGTCGATTCAAGTGCTATATTGCTATATAAAGAAAGTTCTGGTAAACATCTCTGCTCTGTGCCATGTCCAGGGTATCTGGCAGTCTTGCTCTTACAAACGCTTCATTCTAACTAGTTAACATTTTGCTAGCGCCTGTGGCGGTGGTTTTTTGCTGCCCAATGCTGCACCCAACCGCTGGTCGCCAGCTGGGGGCAAGCAAAGATATCCAATTGAAACTGAAAATCAAATGAAGTTCTGGCCAGGCATGATTGACGCAGCAGTAGGCAGCTCGAGTTCAACAATGCTGGGAATGTTTTGAAATCGCAGCTAGTTAAATTATAATACATATATAATACATACGTTGGCTGACACTGGCTGTGAGCTGCGCCAAGTTCGTTGCCTAAGTCTTTTGTTTGCCTTCCCTGCCTGTCCATTGTTGTGCCGTATCAATAACAAACATACACACACACGCACACAGACATTTTTCACACACTTTTTAATTTGTTTAAATAAATATCAGGCACACACAACTAAATGACTTCATTTTTTCGGGCATAAAGCATTACCTAATACACGAACCAGACGGAGCAGAGCATGATTCTCCTAGCCAATGGCACTGTTTGTACAAATCCGTACAGTTTTTTGTGATGTTTTGACACCAAACAAAGCGCCGCCACTTTATAAACATTTAGTTGGGTGCTAATTAAGACAACAACAAAAACAACAACAGTGAGCAGCAGCAATCGCAACTAGCAGCTGTCCAAGTTTTTATGCGCACTTTTGTTTAGTTTTAATGGAAGCTATTATCAAATTATGAGCAACGCACTCATGATGGCATCATAAACGCTGCAAATAACTGCTCGCTGTGTGAGTGGGCGACGTCTCTGTTCAGCATACAAATAAATCCACGAAATGGCCTGCATTTAGCTGGAAATTATGAAGTATTAAGCATGCAGCGCATGGCCAACAGAAAAAAAAAAAACAAAGAGAGAAGCAACAGCTTACAATTTGCACTTGTTACACTTCAGCTTTAACTGGGCGTTAACTTCATGAAATCCCATTTTTGGCATTCATCCCAAGTACATTTCATAACATTGGCATGCGGCATTACATAATGCCACCCAAAAAAAAAATATCAATTGGACGCGATCATGAAACGAAAAGTGAAAGATTTTTTATGTCTGTGTCAAGTGAAAGACAAAATAGCCTTTTGGCTTGTGCTTCGGTCTAATTAGGCATAGAGAGAAATACATAATTGTTTTTTATTGAAAGCCAATTAAAGTCAAGTTCAAATGGCGCACCTCGTGCCGTGCCACAACAAAGCTCCACACAGCCTCGTGTATTTGTAATTAAAATTGGGCGAGCGTTGAAAATTTGCGAAGGAAACACAAAATTATTTGGGTAAAGGTAAGCAAAGCAAAAAAGCTCTGTACATTGCCTGCGGTTAAACTTGCTTAAAACTAAGACAAGGCAGCTTTTAATTTTTTGAATATTTATAAATATCAAGCTAGTGTGAATTAAACATTTAAACAAAACTTTGTCTAGCTGTACCAGAAATTAAAATTTTAGTTTCTTTATTAAGTCATTTGTCGGGAATGTGTTATAAAAAATTAGTGTATATATTTAATGTATTTATAGTAGCAATAAATCGCATACCAAGTTTTTGAGCTCTTGTTCTTATATTTCCTGAGAACAGGGGTACGAAAACCAGAGAAACGTATATTGAAAAACGTTGGCATAAAGAATTAACAAATAATTTGTGAGCTCTAGTTCTAGATCTTAAAACTTGATTTATATAATATTTATATAAATATCGATAGCACAAAGCATACAAATATTCTTATATATAATATATTTTTATGTATACTATAGTTTTATATATAATATATTTTAAATATTTATATCAAAAAAAACTTATACACATATTTTGTCTGTGCATTTTCTTATAGTTCTCGAGATCATGGGATAGGTTAATATCACTCAGTAGATATGTATTGAAAGCTCCAGCTCCTATAGTTCCCGGGGCTCACAGGTAAGTTGCCCTTCAACCATGAGATAAATTTTTTAAATATTGATATCATAAGGAACTTGTAAGCTCTAGGTCTTAAAGTTCTCGAGTTCAATGGGCACGTTATTAAAATTTGGGAAATATATTATATTTAAAATAGTGATATCATAAGGAACTTGCAGACTGTCTGTAAGCTCCAGATATTGTAGTTCTCGTACTCGACGGGTTCATGAAGCTCATCAGATATAAATATGAAGCACCCTGTTGGTGGTCATCCTCAGTATATATGCATTACAGGGTCGTTGCGGTCATCATTTGCCCTGCTTTACTTTTTGTATTATATTCCCTTTTTTTTATAACAATTTGTAATGCTTACAGAAACACAAGCAATATGCAAAACACTTGAATTACATTTTGTAGGGCTGTAATTTTGTTATTTTGTAAGCTGTCAGCGGCTGTCATTAGCGTTAACTCGAGCCTTGGCTTTACCCATCTTAACTCCATGTTTGCACTTTGTAAAAACAAATAGAAGAAAACAAAAACAAAAAAAAACACATGACGAAAAACCAAAATAATAAAAAAAGAGATACAAAGTTCAAGTCCACAGCAGATGTGGGTAACATTGACCCGACACGCCGCTTATCGTCAAAAGCCGCAGACGCTGCAGCTCATTCATAAACCCAACGCAGCGTGTACTTTTATATATATATATGCATATACATATACATTTGTGTGTGTGTGTGTGCCCGATCAATGCCATGCGGCACTCATAAATAGTTGCTTAAATATATATTGTTGTTATTAATTTATTTTACTTTTTGGCAAATTATTCTTTTGGCCTGGTCCAAGCAAAAGACTTACGACACAAACGCGCACTTCCCCAGAGCAATCAGTATTTGCCAAATACACAATTACAAAACGGAAACGTGTGTGTGTGTGTGTGTGTGTTTTCTGCGAAATGATATGTGATTTGGCGTCATATAATACGCATATTCA